TTGCTTTTGGTATTAGGTTAACCACTTCTATTTCAGGAGCTTGTGTTACCTATTACTTGGGAGGCCATCTACGAATTAACATGACACAATAAATATCCTTACTGTTGACATATTCTATAGATTTCATTTATTTTTTATTATGTCATACTTGTATGGTTGTTTTTGTATTTTTCTAGCTCTTGCTTTGGTTAGCTGTATAAGTGGACTCACATCGGTTGGTTGCCAATTTGCTTCCCTTTATCTTGCTTTAGTGCATTCTATTTCCAGTCGAGCTCCAGATTTTTATGGCCATGTTTCCTGATGTCCAGCCCTTGTGATATGTTGACCATCTCATTGTGTGCTTTTCTTGCTGTCGTTTTGGGTTGTGCAAGTTTTTTCTGTGAAAAGGCTCCATCCATGCTGTTGATTCTTCTCTTGTGCACTTTTATATCTTTTGAGCCTTGTTGGTCTAGCCTCCGTTAACTTCTACTTACCTGTACAATTTATTTCTTGCTTTTTCTTCTTTTTTTCTTCTTACGTGCCCAAGCTCTTGCCTTTCTTGCTGCCTTGCAATTTGTTGAATTTTTCTTTGTTCTTGTACATGCTGACTTGGATAAGTTGTTTGCTTATCTATGTGCCATGTATAATGACGCAGCGCAGAAGTGATAACCTCGGAATCCACCAAGGGTGTTATCTGAATCCACAAAGAACGATCTTCGAATCCATGAAGAACTTCGAATCCACGAAGAAAATATTAAAAAAGAGAAATTTTATTGATGAAAAGTTATGCCTCTAGGGCTTACATGATTCTTCTTAAATAGAAAAAGAAACAAAACTCCTACGAGGACTCTAATTCCTACAAGGACTCAAACTTTACAAAAAATAGTAAAAGAGTTCCTAAAATATTAAAACTCCTAAAAAGACTCCTTATTACTAGAAAAGTCTACCGGTCAAATCTGAGATCAAATCGGATTTGTTTCCTAAATAAAACAGACTCTAACTCAGATTAAGCATCCTACATCAGTCTCCCCTTGTTAAAAGAAGCTCGGCCTCGAGCTTATATTTGTTAGAATAGTAGCTTCATTGATAAATAATTTTCTTCTCTTGTAATGATCTGCATCCGCCTTATATTTAGCATTGATTTTCTCCATATGTTGTTTTGTCTCCTCTGCTAGGGCTTCTTCTGTATAAAACTCGTTTCCTAATTTTTCCCATGACATGTGTATGTAATTGGCAACATGTAGCTCTGTAGTTGGTATGAAAAACTCTTCTAAAGATATTCCCTGTTGCTTCCTATATTCTAGTGCCGGCGGTATCATCTCATTGTTGTTGAAATTATTGATGATCATTGCTTCCAAAAAAGAATTTTCTCCCTCAGTTGTTGAAATTATTGATGATCATTGCTTCCAAAAAAGAATTTTCTCCCTCATACTCCATACATAATTCTTTCATCTTCATTGCTTCCAAAAAAGAATTTTCTCCCTCATACTCCATACATAATTCTTTCATCTTCTTTGCCTCGATCCCTCCACTAAGCAATTCACACATACCATCAATTATCTCACTCTATTTTATCATTCTCCTCTATCGAGACAACATCAATATGTGTAATATCGCTCTCAACCCCTTTGAGAATATCATGCATATCATCCATTTTCACTATCATATCACCATAATGAATCTCATGCATAATGATTGTTTGCACCTTAGGAGGAATTTCGTTAGGGGTAGGTTCTTCTTTTTCAGTTACAACCAAGTCATAGACCTCTTCAGATTGCTTCGAGTTTTCTGCTAAAGCTTCGTTCTTTGCCACCAAAGGTTTCTTCTTCTCAGTAGCTTTTATCTTAGATGGCTCCTTTTCTGTAAGAGACAGAAGTACAATCCATTATTGAATTGCCATGGCCTACCTAAAAGCATATGACAAGTATCCATCTCGACAACATCACACAAAACCTCATCAAAATAAGTTCGACCAATAGAAAAAGATACCAAACACACTTCATCGTTCTGCATATCATTGCCCTTGTGAATCCAGTCGATCTTAACGAGAGGTGGGTGTTTCTCTATCTTCAAACCTAACTTATTCACCATACGCCGAGAGACAAGATTCCTTCCACTGTGACTGTCAATAATAACATTACAAATCTTCTGCATCACGGTACATCTCGTACGAAAGATATTATGCTCTGGAGGTGGTTCTTCTTTCTTTATTACTTCTTCACTGTTCTTCCCAACTCTTATGTCTTGCTTATTATCATATGGAGTTGGATCACGTCGTTGGCGACCATCAACGCGATTTTGAACTCCTACCGTGTTCAGATGCTCCACTGCCGACGCAAGTCGCTCTACGGCAGTCTTCATCTGATTAACACCGGTCTTCAGCACGTCGAACTCAGTTCGATAAATAGGGTCTTCATCCCCTTTCATCGGATCGGAGGAACAATGCTCTGATACCAATTGACGCAGCGCGGAAGTGATAACCTCGGAATCCACCAAGGGTGTTCTCTGAATCCACAAAGAACGATCTTCGAATCCATGAAGAACTTCGAATCCAGGAAGAAAATATTGAAAAAGAGAAATTTTATTGATGAAAAGTTATGCCTCTAGGGCTTACAAGACTCTTCTTAAATAGAAAAAGAAACAAAACTCCTACAAGGACTCTAATTCCTACAAGGACTCAAACTTTACCAAAAATAGTAAACGAATTCCTAAAATATTAAAACTCCTAAAAAGATTCCTTATTACTAGAAAAGTCTACCGGTCAAATCTGAGATCAAATCAGATTTGTTTCCTAAACAAAACAGACTCTAACTCAGATTAAGCATCCTACATCAGTATAGGATCCAGCCTGGCTCTCCCTGGATTACAATTGTTCGGATAAGCTTTGTGTTTATTGTTCTCTCTTAAAATTTTCTTTAGTATTAAGTTGCTCTTATGCTAACATCAGGACCTTTTGTTTAAAGGTTGGATACTTTTGACCTTTTTGTTTTTTATGCCTCCTTTTAGTATGCACTTGAATTGTAACTGGTAAGAAAAGTACAAGGAGAGAGGAGTTAGATAAATATTCGTGTATAATTTTGTATGCGTACATTATCAGCTTGTATTGTTTACCAGAACTGTTTTTTCAATTTGATTTCCTTGTATTCATCTTTCTTTCCTTGAATACTAGTTTGAAGTTCCTTTTTGTTTTATGTCAGGGAAGAAGCCAAGGATATACGATCAAAATCACTTGAGAGGAGCAATTCACCTGTATTTAGAAACATGCCAAATAGAATAAAGAAGTGAGTTCCTAATTATTCATAAAATTGACATTTCTTTATACAAATAAATGTTGTTTTCAATTTAGTTCCCCTTGCAGACTCCTAGTTCTCGCTCAACTTTCATTTCTAAGTAGGATTTTGATATCTGATGTTTAGTTCTGTTGTTTGTCTTGACTGCTTCCCTCAGGAGATCAGCTTGCTCATATGCAGAGGTAGAATCAAGAAAGCAGAGGGTTCAACAATTAGAAAAACTATACTCCGACATGGCTTTGCAGAAAGAACTACAGGTTCATACCTTCACATTGCTCAAGTGAGAAAGCTAAATTTGAAATTTGAAGGTGGTCTACTTGCAGATACACACCTTATACTACGAGGGAGTAATCATTTAACCTTAAGAACTCCAGACAGCATTATTTTTCCAAGTTAGGCCCGTGTTCATAATTTACCTTTTACCATCCGTTTAACTGGAAAAGGAAGAAGACTAAATTGCCTTCTAAAATTAGGGGTAAAACGCAATGCTATTTGATAAATGAGAAGGTGTGGGTGGGAATCGAAATTTTTTATGGGAAATAAGTGACTACAACATTTCGTACTGGGTATATATAAGACATTTTTCTAGTTATGTGTAGAAAATAAACCTAAGTTGGCATTGCTTCCTGGGAGAGTGATTGATTTTGTCAAACCTGATTTACGTTTTCCTTTTGGGCTAGTTGTATTACATGTCTCTATAGTCATGAGCATAGGTTGCATAATTAAATAAAATCGTGATAATTATTTCTTTTTGAAACAGAAATCTGGCCGTAAGCACAAACTTCGTGAAGAAGAGTTGGTCTCCCCAACAAGTAGACCGGTCTACAAATGGCGTACAGAACGTAAACGATGAAATATGCGACAACATTCTTTTGCTGATGATTTCACTATGCTTGTGGCTCCTCAACTGTTTTGGTGATTGCAACTGAAATTTAAGTGGATGGTTGTTTCCTGTCATGTTTAAACACCATTGTTGGTATGCTTGATTTTTTTTGTTTATTCACTTTTTTCAGATCTGCAGTATGACTGTTTTTGACATTGCTTCATGATTGAATCCTCTTTTTCCGCTGGTGACGCTACTCTCACTTTATGAATTATGTATCAAAAGCCTTGATCTGATTGTTTATCAATGGTGTATGTATTATTGTGCTTTCCATTTTCTTTTTCTTTTTTTTACTTCCAACTCTGTATTGCTTCTTTTTCTTTTTTACTTCCAACTATTCTATACTGATTCAATAATAGACAATTCTTAATACATCATCGATCCCATCACGGATAAGACATAAATGATGTTTGTCAAGGAAAATGGTTCTAGTCAGGATAGTGTAGCTGCTGACATGCTTTGTGATTTGTATGTTATGAAGGCAAAAAGTAGCAGCATATACTGTTGATTCCTTCATGGTGGAAATGAGCAACAAAGAAATTGATCTCATCATTTCATCCTCATCAAGAAAAAAGAATCAATCAGTCATCAATTACATCATTTACAGAACAAGACTCTTCTGTAAATGATGTAATTATGACTGATTGATTCTTTTTTCTTGATGAGGATGAAATGATGAGATCAATTTCTTTGTTGCTCATTTCCACCATGAAGGAATCCACAGTATATGCTGCTACTTTTTGCCTTCATAACATACAAATCACAAAGCATGTCAGCAGCTACACAATCCTGACTAGAACCATTTTCCTTGACAAACATCATTTATGTCTTATCCGTGATGGGATCGATGTATTAAGAACTGTCTATTATTGAATTAGTATAGAATAGTTGGAAGTAAAAAAAAGAAGCAGTACAGAGTTGGAAGTAAAAAAGAAAAAGAAAAAGGAAAGCACAATAATACATACACCCTTGATAAACAATCAGATCAAGGCTTTTGATACATAATTCATAAAGTGAGAGTAGCGTCACCAGCGGAAAAAGAGGATTCAATCATGGAGCAGTCTCAAAAACAGTCATACTGCAGATCTGAAAAAGTGAATAAACAAAAAAAATTCAAGCATACCAACAATGGTGTTTAAACATGACAGGAAACAACCATCCACTTAAATTTCAGTTGCAGTCACCAAAACAGTTGAAGAGCCACAAGCATAGTGAAATCATCAGCAAAAGAATGTTGTCGCATATTTCATCGTTTACGTTCTGTACGCCATTTGTAGACCGGTCTACTTGTTGGGGAGACCAACTCTTCTTCACGAAGTTTGTGCTTACGGCCAGATTTCTGTTTCAAAAAGAAATAATTATCACGATTTTATTTAATTATGCAACCTATGCTCATGACTATAGAGACATGTAATACAACTAGCCCAAAAGGAAAACATAAATCAGGTTTGACAAAATCAATCACTCTCCCAGGAAGCAATGCCAACTTAGGTTTATTTTCTACACATAACTAGAAAAATGTCTTATATATACCCAGTACGAAATGTTGTAGTCACTTATTTCCCATAAAAAATTTCGATTCCCACCCACACCTTCTCGTTTATCAAATAGCATTGCGTTTTACCCCTAATTTTAGAAGGCAATTTAGTCTTCTTCCTTTTCCAGTTAAACGGATGGTAAAAGGTAAATTATTAACGCGGGCCTAACTTGGAAAAATAATGCTGTCTGGAGTTCTTAAGGTTAAATGATTACTCTCTCGTAGTATAAGGTGTGTATCTGCAAGTAGACCACCTTCAAATTTCAAATTTAGCTTTCTCACTTGAGCAAAGTGAAGGTATGAACCTGTAGTTCTTTCTACAAAGCCATGTCGGAGTATAGTTTTTCTAATTGTTGAACCCTCTGCTTTCTTGATTCTACCTCTGCATATGAGCAAGCTGATCTCCTGAGGGAAGCAGTCAAGACAAACAACAGAACTAAACATCAGTTATCAAAATCCTACTTAGAAATGAAAGTTAAGCGAGAACTAGGAGTCTGCAAGGGGAACTAAATTGAAAACAACATTTATTTGTATAAAGAAATGTCAATTTTATGAATAATTAGGAACTCACTTCTTTATTCTATTTGGCATGTTTCTAAATACAGGTGAATTGCTCCTCTCAAGTGATTTTGATCGTATATCCTTGGCTTCTTCCCTGACATAAAACAAAAAGGAACTTCAAACTAGTATTCAAGGAAAGAAAGATGAATACAAGGAAATCAAATTGAAAAAACAGTTCTGGTAAACAATACAAGCTGATAATGTACGCATACAAAATTATACACGAATATTTATCTAACTCCTCTCTCCTTGTACTTTTCTTACCAGTTACAATTCAAGTTCATACTAAAAGGAGGCAAAAAGAACAAAAATGTCAAAAGTATCCAATCTTTAAACAAAAGGTCCTGATGTTAGCATAAGAGCAGCTTAATACTAAAGAAAATTTTAAGAGAGAACAATAAACACAAAGCTTATCCGAACAATTGTAATCCAGGGAGAGCCAGGCTGGATCCTATACTGATGTAGGATGCTTAATCTGAGTTAGAGTCTGTTTTGTTTAGGAAACAAATCCGATTTGATCTCAGATTTGACCGGTAGACTTTTCTAGCAATAAGGAATCTTTTTAGGAGTTTTAATATTTTAGTAATTCTTTTACTATTTTTGGTAAAGTTTGAGTCCTTGTAGGAATTAGAGTCCTTGTAGGAGTTTTGTTTCTTTTTCTATTTAAGAAGAGTCTTGTAAGCCCTAAAGGCATAACTTTTCATCAATAAAATTTCTCTTTTTTAATATTTTCTTCGTGGATTCGAAGTTCTTCATGGATTCGAAGATCGTTCTTTGTGGATTCAGAGAACACCCTTGGTGGATTCCGAGGTTACAACTTCAGAGCCTTGTTCCTTTCTATCAAATGGCAGGTGATGAAACCCCTATTTCTCGAACTAAGTTCAATGAGTTGAAGACCGATGTTAATCAAATTAAGATTGTTGTAGATTGACTTGCATCGGCAATGGAGAGTCTAAACATGGTAGGAGTTCAAAATCGTGTTGATGGTCGCCAACGACGTGATCCGACTCCATATGATAAATTCAACAGGGACAATGATCTTAAGCAAGACATTAGAGTTGGGAAGAACAGTGAAGAAGTAATAAAGAAAGAAGAACCACCTCCAGAGCATAATATCTTTCGTACGAGATGTACCGTGATGCAGAAGATTTGTAATGTTATTATTGATAGTCACAATGGAAGGAATCTTGTCTCTCGGGGTATGGTGAATAAGTTAGGTTTGAAGATAGAGAAACACACACCTCTCGTTAAGATCGACTGGATTCACAAGGGCAATGATATGTAAAACGATGAAGTGTGTTTGGTATCTTTTTCTATTGGTCGAACTTATTTTGATGAGGTTTTGTGTGATGTTGTCGAGATGGATACTTGTCATATGTTTTTAGGTAGGCCATGGCAATTCAATAATGGAGCTACCCATAAGAGCAAAGACAATGTTTATATCTTCAAGAAAGATGGACGACGAATTGTACTTTTGCCTCTTACAGAAAAGGAACCATCTAAGATAAAAGCTACTGAGAAGAAGAAACCTTTGGTGGCAAATAACGAAGCTTTAGCAGAAAACTCGAAGCAATCTGAAGAGGTCTATGACTTGGTTGCAACTGAAAAAGAAGAACCTACCCCTAACGAAATTCCTCCTAAGGTGCAAACAATCATTATGCATGAGATTCATTATGGTGATATGATAGTGAAAATGGATGATATGCATGATATTCTCAAAGGGGTTGAGAGCAATATTACACATATTGATGTTGTCTCGATAGAGGAGAATGATAAAATAGAGAGTGAGACAATTGATGGTATGTGTGAATTGCTTGGTGGAGGGCTCGAGGCAAAGAAGATGAAAGAATTATGTATGGAGTATGAGGGAGAAAATTCTTTTTTGGAAGCAATGATCATCAATAATTTCAACAACAATGAGATGATACCGCCGACACTAGAATATAGGAAGCAACAGGGAATATATTTAGAAGAGTTTTTCATGCCAACTACAGAGCTACATGTTGCCAATTACATACACATGTTATGGGAAAGATTAGGAAACGAGTTTTATACAGAAGAAGCCCTAGCAGAGGAGACAAAACAACATATGGAGAAAATCAATGCTAAATATAAGGCGGATGCAGATCATTACAAGAGAAGAAAATTATTTATCAATGAAGCTACTATTCTAACAAATATAAGCTCGAGGTCGAGCTTCTTTCAACAAGGGGAAACTGATGTAGGATGCTTAATCTGAGTTAGAGTCTGTTTTGTTTAGGAAACAAATCCGATTTGATCTCAGATTTGACCAGTAGACTTTTCTAGTAATAAGGAGTCTTTTTAGGAGTTTTAATATTTTAGGAATTCTTTTACTATTTTTTGTAAAGTTTGAGTCTTGTAGGAATTAGAGTTCTCGTAGGAGTTTTGTTTCTTTTTCTATTTAAGAAGAATCATGTAAGCCCTAGAGGCATAATTTTTCATTAATAAATTTTTTTTTTAATATTTTCTTCGTGGATTCGAAGTTCTTCGTGGATTCGAAGATCATTCTTTGTGGATTCAGATAACACCCTTGGTGGATTCCGAGGTTATCACTTCTGCGCTGCGTCATTATACATGGCACATAGATAAGCAAACAACTTATCCAAGTCAGCATGTACAAGAACAAAGAAAAATTCAACAAATTGCAAGGCAGCAAGAAAGGCAAGAGCTTGGGCACGTAAGAAGAAAAAAAGAAGAAAAAGCTTCAACAAATTGCAAGGCAGCAAGAAAGGCAAGAGCTTGGGCACGTAAGAAGAAAAAAAGAAGAAAAAGCAAGAAATAAATTGTACAGGTAAGGAGAAGAAAAAAAGAAGAAAAAGCAAGAAATAAATTGTACAGGTAAGGAGAAGTTAACGGAGGCTAGACCAGCAAGGCTCAAAGGATATGAAAATGCACAAGAGAAGAATCAATAGCATGGATGGAGCCTTTTCACAGAAAAAACTTGCACAACCCAAAACGGCAGCAAGAAAAGCACACAATGAGATGGTCAACATATCACAAGGGCTGGACATCAGGAAACATGGCCATAAAAATCTGGAGCTCGACTGGAAATAGAATGCACTAAATCAAGATAAAGGGAAGCAAATTGGCAACCAACCGATGTGAGTCCACTTATACAGCTAACCAAAGCAAGAGCTAGAAAAATACAAAAGCAACCATACAAGTATGATATAATAAAAAATAAATGAAATCTATAGAATATGTCAACAGTAAGGATATTTACTGTGTCATGTTAATTTGTAGATGGCCTCCCAAGTAATATGTAAGACAAGCTCCTGAAATAGAAGTGGTTAACCTAATACCAAAAGCAAGCAAGAGAAAAGATTCTAAACACATCGATTTGGACTTTATTTGATATTCTATTTTGTAGGTTAAAATTGTTTAGCATAAGGCTTTCTAAATCCTCTCAATTTTGGATCTCTAATCATATGTACCCAGCATGGCAAGTATTCAAATCCAAGTATGGAAAGACATGTACATGATATCTGCATACAATGGTATGGATGTCATGTATACATAAGTTTTGTTGGTGGAAACATGCATGTTAAAATAGACATTAGACACTACTAAAGGTATGTGCTTGCTGGACTATCATTCTTCCCTCTACATCAATACTTTCTGCCTCTAATACATTAATACTCCTCCCCACCCCAAACCCTCTAAACAGAAGAAATACACGCAGACACAAAAACATACAATATTCCCTTAAAACACATAGACGCAATCACAAATATGAACCTCACTATTCTATCATTAAAAAGCACTATGAATGCTACATGCCAATAAAATGCAAAATTATATTCTTCGTTCCTTCGTCCTTAACTACAACATTCTTTATGATTCTCTCAAAGGTCATCCTTCACTCTTCTATCTTATTTCTTCAGAAATTAACTTCACATATGTTTGCGTCGAAAATTGTTGTATTCATTGCGGTATTCATTACAACTTTAGTCGTTACAATGAAAACAAAAAGATTGTCTTTTTATAAGACTTTTACACAATGAAAACAAAAAGTTACAACTCTCGTCAAAACAAACGCAGAGATCGTTTATCGGTCTTCTGCTTGCGTGGGATCTTTGCATATGCCGGGGTTTATCCGTGGACGACC